CATAATGAACACAGTCATAAATGATGAATGCAGAAAACCTAACCCGGGCCTCCCTTACACCCTGGGGCTCCAGCCCCTCTCCCCAGAGTCCCAGTGCAGTTCCTCTCTCGCCCTAGGCTGCTCAGGGAGCAGCAGATTCCCTGAAACAAAGCCACATGGCTGCTGGTGAGCAACAGTGAAGGAGCCTAGTCCAGGTAAGACCCTCATATCTTTGCTCCCCAAGGAGAGGGGCCTGTTCTCAGACTCCCCATTGCCCTCTGGAGGGTCTGAGCATCAGCACTCCTTCTTTTGGATACCAGCCTGCCCTACATTAAGGCAAGCAAATGAGAGCAAACTAAAATACATAAAGAAGGACCATTTTTAAAGATATACTGGGCTGGCCCAGCAGCATTGTGGTTAAGTTCACGCGCTCCGTTTTGGCGGCCCAGGATTTGTGGGGTTCGTGGGTTGGGATCTCGGGCATGGACCTACACAGCGCTCATCAAGCCATGCTGTGGCAGTGTCCCACATACAAACAGAGGAAGACTGACACAGATATTAGCTCAGGGCCCATCTTCCTCACCAAAAAATAAAATAAAATAAAAATAAATAAAATAAAATCTTAAAAAATCAAAAAAAGGTATACTTATTTACAGACAATGATCTAGCTAAAGAACAAATAATAGCGTAAAGAATGAAGATTTGTCTTATTCTACCAGTTGTTCTCTATGTATAGACAAGATGAAAACCAAAATAAAACGTGTCCACAGATTTCAGCTGGATAAAGTAATTACCTACTACTTACCAACACATTAATAAATGGTGATAAAGTCAGCTACCAGGGAGGCCCTGGTGTGTGCCATTAAGAAAAGATCTATTGGATAAAATACAGCACACTAGGGAATAAAGATTGAAGAGTTATAATAGAAAAATGACATAAAAGGAGAGTTTGAAATAGATATGAGTAAAAATAGAAGTCAAAGGACTGGAAGAAAAAGACGAAAATGGAATTTTTAGTAGATTTAAATGATTTGGCTAGGAAAGGTGGCTGTGTCATTTCTAAAATTCTTTTCAGCTCTCAGATGTTGAACCAGGAATGTAAAAGTTGGTGAAAGGCAGAGACGTCATGTTCATAACAAGCTGCTTCTGATCAATAAAAAGTTTCGATTTACTAGAGCCCCTCCCCTCCGCCCCCAAGTCCATCTTCTCTCTCTCCTTGCTGCCACTGGTTCAGAACTTTATTACCCGCACCACTGCCCCATCACCACCTCCCTGGCCTTCCCCCGCAGCTGCACACAGACTCCAGCACACATTCCACACCACAGCCACAGTGATCTCCCCAACCGTGAACCTGTGTGCGGTCACTCCCATCTAACAGCCTCTGGCGGATCCCAGAGGCATTCAGATTGGAACTGGAATGCCTTAGTGGTCCTCAGAGTGGAAAGGGAGGTGCTCAAAAGTAGAACCTTAGAGACTTAATTTTTACTTCCTAGATTTTTTCCTAAGATTCACCCTTCTCGTGAGCATTTGACGTAAAAGGGCGAAGGATTTTATAAGTTACAGTATCTCAAAGATGTATTTAAAACACTGCATTTTTATTTACCTAATTGTCAATTTATGTGAACTCTGCTGAACATTAGCAGCATCTGTATCTAATTAATAACTCTAAGTCAAGAGCATCTACTGATTGGTGCGCTAACATTGGACTGCTGCCCATGTAAGAAAAGAAAAGGTAAAAACAATTGCAATTCCAGGAGAAATGTATTAAGACAGGCTGGCTAAGGTTATGTTCAAAATGACTGCATGTGACATACAGCCACACTGAGGACCTCACGGAGAGGCGTAGGGCACAGGGAGAGGCTCAAGGTCGGGTGGCTGAGTACGGACTCTGGAGCCAGAGAGCCTGGGTTCAAATGACAACTCCACCTCATATTTTGTGATCTTGGACTGATGGCTTGATTTACCTCAGTTACATCAGCTGTAAAACGGGCTTAGTAATAGTGACTATTTCACATAGCTGTTGTAAGGAGTAAAAGGGCTAATCCACGTAAAGGCTTAGATCAGCGCCTGCACATAGTGGGTGCTATTTACATTGTTGTTACACTCTAAGCTCCTCATTTAACTCCTTAAATATCTACACCTTAAACAAAGTGCTTTAAATTCCATCTTCTTAAAGCACTTTTTTTATAACCCCAATCTGTAACAGACCCTTAGACCCCTGAACGTCAAAATGAGCACTTACTGCTGGTGCTGTTTTGTGTTTCAGCATATGCTACCTTTGGATAGCCTAGATTATTACCAATTCTAGGCCTGTGTTCTTGTTTTTCTATGAAACTGTAAACCTTCGCCATATACTCCAGTGATATTCACGAAGGCCCTGTGGGTTGGGAATGGACTCACGACAGGGCAGACAGAAGCTGTGGTATTTATGGAACACCTCACCGAGCAGGGAAAGAGAGGGGAGGACCACGGAGGACGAGGACAGGCAAGGCAGGAGCTCGGAGCAGGGAGCCCGACCTAGACCCACGGGCTGGGCTGTGTGTAGTCACAGTGCCTATCCCAGCGCTGAGGACCAGGTTCAATAAAGGTAAAGCCTCCGTTTTTGAACTCTACTAAGTGGGCTAAGAGAATCCATTAAAGCCACAGCCTAGCCCCTTACTATGGCCTGACTCATTCTGGTCGATACTTTTGGTTATTTTCCTTTCACCCACCTCCTAAGTACTGAAAAAGTATATATTCAAATTCCCAAATCAGGTAACGACAGAGCTTCCTAATAATCAATCCCTGGAAAGTTCCTGTGGGCCTAGAAATCAAAAAATTATTTAATATCTTTGCTTTCAATCTGACTTAACAAAAAAAAAAAAAAGAAAAAAGAAACCTCTAGAGGAATACTGCCCTTTTGTACTTTCTTTATGTACAAACTAAATAAACCCACACTTTCCATGGGCTTGTTCTGAACACAGGTATGGAACTTGAAATATACTAAAATCCTCACAGCATCCTCAACTTATTTTCCCACTTGGAATTCACAAGAACGATGAAGATAATCACTCACTCTATTACATTCACTTTTGAGCAAACTAACTCCCCAAATTCATGTAGTGTTCTGGAGCTGGCACCAGATAAGCATGGCCAGAAATGGGCTTAGAGGAGTTACCTGCACAAAGCATCATCTAACTATAGAGTGGTCCGAAACCCGTATATATGTCCCTGTCTAAAATCTCAACACACCATCGTTCTCTGGTATTTCTGAATCCGTTCATTTCTGTCCTCTAATTTCTAAAGCAACAGCACTTCTGAATGGCTAGAGCTAAAATCACTATTTTGGGGGGTGCAGGGAATAGAGAAGAGGAGGTAAAACAGCCAACATCTAAATTGTAAATTTCAATCCTATTGCATTCCTTACCCTTTCAGTGATTAAAAAATGTTAATTATTCTTAAATTCAACAAATTGGGATCTAAAACAGTATGAGAATGAACTATTCTAACTACCAGATGTGAATTTAATACAGATTATGATATAGAAGGCATTATGTTCCTACGAGATAAATATTTCTCAAATAGATGGATAAATTCTGAGCGTCTTTTCAGAGGTCATAACTCAAAGCCCTATTTACTTGACCTTAACCCGGGAAGGAAATGCTGACCAGGGCAAGAAAAATGTTCCCACTTAGCTGTATTATCACATAAAACTGTCAGTTCAGATCCCTTTTGTTTGCTTTGAATAGGCCAGCCTACAACACAGAGACAAGAATATGTCAACAAAGACTCTGAACATCAACATGACCTTGGCTAAGATTTATATTTGCTCAGGACAGATGACTCAAACAAGTAAACTCAGCCACTTCATCAGGGGCTGTCCTGGAAAATATACCACAGGGGCTGAAAAATCAGTTCTTTCAGCAGTCACCATCCTTTGTCCTGCCCCTATCTCCAAGCCCTCCGGTTATCTTTCTTGGTGAAAGAACCCTGTTGGGGATTGCTGATTTAAGAGAGCCGTGATGCATTCCTTCCATTCTGCGTTCCCTGAGGGCGGGTCTAATGGGTCACTGCCTAAGAGAATGTAAATCTATACTTGCTCCTTAATAAATCTTTTTAACAGCTTTTCTTTGCTCCTTTAGGGACATAAAAATATAAATATAAATCAGGTGCTTAGCTTCACCTCAGGCACACTGTGGTAGAAGAGCTAAACTAACAGTTAGACCCCCCAGCCTCAAGGTGGTTCTACGACTAAATCAACTCTGTGACGTTGGACAAGCAACGAATTTTGTGAGACCTTGGTTTCTGACCTGCACAAGAAGGGAACAAAAACAAATGATTCCAAGGTTGCTTCTAGCTCCAAAAATGCCCATGATCCTAACTCTTAGTAAATCACTTCCACTTATATTTGGAAGTAGCAGAGTAGAATAGAAAAAACACAGATTTGGAATTAGACAGACAGATTGGAATCACTGAGGTTAGGACTTCTCTGATATTCAATTTCCTTACTGTAAAATAGAGATAATATTGCCTAACTCACCAAGTAATTACAGAATCAAATCAGACAACGTACGTCAACTGTTTAACAGTGGTTTGTTTATAAGAGAGACCCAATAAAAAAGAGTTGCCCCTAGTTATGTTTTCAACCCTGGACTTGCTTTAGAAATCAACATGAATTTGAGGCTTTCAGGGTCCCACTCATGCAGTATACACTCTTTCTTTAATTGTCAGATTAAAATTTTTCTTCTTGATATCTATTCTCCATTTTCAAATAGAAAGTTTGCTTTTCTATTTCCTTTTGGAAATATTCTCCAAACCAGAGTGGCCTCCTTTAAAACTGTACTCCTTAAATTACAGCTTTTCCTTTTTAAGGATAATTGCTTTCTTTGCTCTGATTCTTGCTTTATAGGTGAATGATTCTACACCTAACAATTTGGTACTCTCAGCATCTCAGAGAAGAGATACTGCTACGTTATATGTGTTCAACTGGGAAACAAAGAAATGCAGAACGGAGACACAAAATCTTCCTGGGGAAAACTCACCTCTCCAAATCTTTCCACGTTTTGTATTTTAGATAAGTTTCCACCAATACACATATCATCCAAGCTAGAAAGAATTTTATTAATACTTCCATCACTGGATGGTCTATTTTTCAGTTTAGATCGGAAAATGTCTCCTTGGACCCATAATGATGCCTGTTTTCTGTGAAAAGGAGAGAAAACAAAATAATCTGTAAAATAAATTACTATCATCTCAGCAGCATGATATCTTATAGATAAAAAGATTAGTGGATAAACATTTACAAATCAGACCAGAGAATTATGAAATTTTAGAATAAAGAAAAATAGTTACTTTCTGAAAGCCAAAATAAATTTTATTACAGTTCTATATTAAACACAAATACCCATCTCCCAGTCTATCTCTCTACAGCCATCCATGGGTTGACTACTAATGTTCTCAAATGCTTAGAACAAATTCCGCAGCAATAAAGACTGTGAGCCTATTTGCCTTTTAAATATGAATTTGAAATCTGTAAGGCATCTCTCAAATAGCAATTTGATATGTTTATAAAAACAGCTAGAATAAATTGAACTCAAAGATATACGAGAAGGAACTTGAGTTAGACAGATATATTACCTGAAAAGTACTCAACAGCTAATTATGTGTGGCACAATGAAAGACACTAAACACATAACTTTAGAAACCCACGCTGAGAATCTAAAAGCAAGACTTATAATCTCAGTTAGATTATCCTTTGAGAAAAAGAAAACATGTTTAAAGTTCATTTGTAAGTTTTCTTTCTTTCAATAAGGCATAATGCAACTGTTTTCAAGGTTATAAGAAAAGAACTTAAAATCTGTAAATAAAATGACGTACTGGGGCTTTTATTTTTGGTTGGTGGAGTCACCTTTATACATTTCTGGTAAGATATATGACCCTGTAGAAGTTTTCATTCTTTTCTATGCCACACTGTACGGAATAGAATTAAACTAAACACATTGTGATTCATCATAAGGGATATCAACATCCAATGAAATAATAGCATTGTCAAGGAGATGCCACCAAGAAGAACATAGCTTTATTTTTTAAGACAAAAGGAAGACTGAGTAATACCTTCTCTCAAAGGTTCCACATATCACATAAAATTCAGGTTAAAACTTGAGGAGAAAAAACAACAACAAAAAACCCTCCCTGAACTGTATTGTCTCTGTGGGACAATAAAAGGAAATCCATCTTTCCTTTTAAACAAAGTTTACTCTCAAATCAGAACTTTATTGTGTATGGTTAAACACTGTTGAAAGTCTTGAAGAAAAGATTAACTTTTAAATTACAGCAAAATGTTACATGTGCAATCCCTTCCACCAAGCAAATCCACATCTAGGTATCATCCTATAGAAATACACACTTGTATACAAGAGACAAAAACGCTTGTTGCAGCATTATTTGTAACAGCAAAATATTGCAGACACCCTAATGGACAACCAGCTTATTAAATTATAGTAGATCCATTCTGTGAAATATTATGTAGTCAGTAAAAAGCCTGGGATGGACCTACACGGGGTGACAGGGAAGAGTGGCCATGATATAAAGCATTAGTGAATGAAAAATATAAGTGACAGAGTGCGGGAAGTGTGATCCCATTTAAACAAACAACAAAAAAAGAGGGAAAATGTTACAATGTTAACGAAAAGTTCACAATTATCTAGAAGAATATACCCCAAAATATTAACTAGTTACCCCGAAGAATAGTGACAAGGGAAACTTTGGCTTTCTACTGCATAATGTCTACGTTGTCTGACTTTTTTAAAACAGTGTGCCTCATTTGCTTTTGTAAAAAATAAGTGATCTGAAAATTAATGAACAAAAATAGAGATCAAAGCAGAATAAAGCTAGAGTAAGTATGAAGAGGAACCTTGAAAGTTGATATCACAAAAGACAGCAGGCAGCACATCACTGCATTGTTTTAACATTCTTCATAAGTATCTTTACAAGTCAGGAGAATAAGTGCCAAAATGTTAACAGCGTGGCGTGGGACTGGATGGCTCAGGGGCTTTCTCTTTTTCAATATAATATCATAACTTACTTTCAAACAAGAGGTTTTACTTTTTGCTCATTTCTCAATATTTTCCAAATAAGGCAAAAGAAAAAGAGAAATACCTTTAGATCCGATTTCTGAGACACCAGCATAGAGGCTCGAGATATAAAATATGCTGTCCCAATATAAGACTAACTTACCACTTATAACATTGTTCTAAAATCAAAACTAGCTTAAATCACCTTTAAAAACTCCCAGGATGTTTCTAAATAGATTAAATTTAAAAACAAAAATCTGGTGAATTTTTAAATACATGAATAAAATTACAACTCCAGGAATCTATACAATAGGAACCTATACACACCAATTCAATAGGGAGTGTGGCAGGATTTACCTTCCATTGTGGCAGATTTTTTTGCTTACTGAAAGCAAACCACTGAGGAGTATTTTCTCAGCTTATGACACGTAAACCGATGAGACTGGCATAACCACCAAGTCATGTTTCATTTTTCGATACCAGCTGTAAAAATATGTATTCAAAACAAATTTTCTTAATTTTTTCTTCCCTTGTAGAAATCTCCATAAAACCATGGAACAGCCTTCCTGATACTTTGCATCTTTAAAAATTCTTGCATTTGTGTTTTTATTCCTCCAGACTTTTTCCAATTAATGTTATATTTAGCATAACCCTTTATCTGATGCTTGAGTCTTATATCCTTCCAATACTAGGAAACAAATAGCACAGTCCTTGATAGAGTCTGAACAGTTAAAAAAATAACTATTAAATTCATAAATGAATGTCTTGGGCCTCTGGTCAAAATTCCCACTAACAAAGAACTACTACTTCACAGGGAGAAAAGACTCAGCTCTGGCAGATAGTGAAAAGTTCAGTTAGAAGAAACACACACACAAAAGATAGGGATATGCAGATAAGACAGAATTCCTGTCTCTCAAGAAATCCCCAGTTTACTATGAGAAAAGTCAACAACTGAAATCCAATATTAGAGCCCTATGACCAAGATTTACTTAGGACTCTAGGAGAAAGGGCCCCTAACTCAATCTGAAAGAATCAGAGAGAAGTTCTCTGAGAATCCAGAAGTATCTAGAAAGATGAGCATGACTTAGCCAGATAAGAGTATTCCCAAAGCAAAGAAAACAATGTGGGCTGGAAGAAACAGTGGTATCAAAGCATACAATATGTTTTAGAAACCGGGTTGTCTGAAGCAGAGGATTTGAGAGGAGAACGGGGTGGGAACCAGCTCATGGATGGGCCCTGCATGCCATGCTAAGGAATTTGAATTTGATCTCAAAACTGAAGGGAAGACTCTGTAAGGGTCTTTAGGAATAAAAAACATGAAGTGGAAACAGAGGCAGAGAAGTTGGAGGACCTAAGAGGCTAAATTGAAAAAAATTCCAATTCCAAAATGCTATAAAATAAAAACTCTGATGCTGCTGCCAACCTAAAGATGAAAATTACAAAGTGACACCTTTCACTTGCGCAGTTTAAAAGACTCAATCTGTCCCGTCACAGGAAAGACTTGACTTGAACCTGAATATTAAAGATGAATAAGGTGTCAAAGTTGATTTGTGTGTTGCTAAGCGATGCTGTACGCAAGTGCTTCTTAAGAAAAAGCAGCACTTCCTGCAAATACCTTTTTTATTGACAGTGGAAACCACGCTAGCTTTTATTGTGGTGTCTATTACTCCTTAAAAGCCTCATCTCAAACAGAAAAAGTAAAACATGTATTTTTAAGTATTTAGCATTTACAAATCAAATCCTATGAAGCTAACACATTCGCTCAAAGTAAATCCTCCAGTAATGCAGTGCATTTTCTAAGAGAGTGGCATTATTGACACTTTACCAAAAGAACGTGTGCTTCGAAATGACAGGAAGAGATCTGTCTTGACTTGCATAGAGAGCCAGTATTGGGGTCACTGTTTTTGGCCACGTCCTTGCCCTGAGTTAGTCAGGTTTGGGGCTAGCCAGGCCAGAACATAAGAAAATAACTAAGTATTATGAGCCAAGTCATTGTTAATTCTTATAAAGAGGCTTCATGAGTCTTTTTAAAAATCTGATTTTAAAATTCCTCTAAAGAATGTCAAGTCAGTAGTATTGTTATAGATATTTCTGGTTGTGAATTCAGAACACAATGACAGTCATCGCGCAGCTTCTTCTGTTTGTAGCTGACCCCTTCTCCCTCACTTCCTTGAATGCTACCTAATCCTACTTCCACACCATCCTCACTCTTTATCATTTCTTCATCCTGGACACATATTTTTCCAGTACGCCCCGACCCTGACCCTAGTGTCCAACCACAGCCACCATCTGTTCACTTTGTACAGAGAACCAACCCACTTTCCGGCTCAACCTGGACCTACTCTAGCTGTGACTTGAGCAGCAATCTGCCCTGAGTAACTCCTACACCACAACCCCAAGACTATTACGGAAACTGAAGTAGTTCCTGTTTTAAAGAATTAGGCTAATGAAATGGTCTAACTTGATATCAAGAGAAGACAGACCAGAAAGCAGTACCCAAGATTCAGGAGGTGGAGGCGAGACAGGCATTCAAGGAGTTGTACGTGCACTTTGGCACAAATGGAAGATTTCATAGCAAGATGTTTAGAAAGAAAATTTATGAGGGTATTGGGGAAGGCTCTCGATTCTGAAACACATACAAGAAAATGCAGCTAGAAGAGGAGAACTGAGCTGGGGAATTCCTAAAAAAGATTCAACTAGCTAATTCTGGTTTAGGTATAGAACCCCACAATCAGGGGCTGGATCATGCATATCATGCTAAAATACAAACTTGACAACTAAAACTAACGCATAATTGCTTACTTTTTTTTTCCACTCTAACCCTTTTTACACAGGAAACAAAAAAATGATTCCATCTTCAAGATTATCTTCAGTAATTGGCATGAGTATTTCAAGATAAATTTCTGATGCTACCATTGCCAAAAATCCTTATACATACTTTATCCTTAATATTTGAACCCATACTAGGATTTTATTTTTGCTTAGCTAATAGATTCGATGCCAACTGACAGTCAATAAATGGATCAAGTGATTTAACAGTAAATACTGAAAAGCAATTCAGAAGTTTTTATAACAGTGTTACTGAAAAAATGTGACTGTCAAATAAGTAGTGCAACTCAAACCTATGCA